AAAATGATAATAAATTCATTATTTTTGTTCGATAAAAAACTTAATTTGAAATTAACTTTAAATGAGGCGGGTAGGGGGTGGAGACTATCTTTCCCGTACCCACTTAGGGGTAATGACCCTCGCCCCGTTTATCCGATTAGACGAATATTTCTCACCCCATTCGGGCCACGGGCCACGGGTATCTGATTGAATGGATTTTTTTGCCAGCCTTGTATAATGGTAGTTTCAAGCCAAGTTTTGACTCCTCTAAGTCAACATGAAGTTGTGCCATTAACGGAGAAACTACAAGAAAAAATTAAAACGGGGAAAAACGTACCAAACAGGAAGGATCGGGTAACGGGGAAAAAATCCGGAAAAAAAAAAAAGAAAAGAAAAGATAACAAGTATGTATATAGCTTTTTGATCCATTGTAGTTATATAATTTCTCCTTTTTCGAGTTAATAATTTTTTTCTTTATGTAAATTTGATGGTTCATTTGCGTTGACTTATACATAGATTGAGGAATTGGTTATATTGCTTATCTACTTATCATTTAGCTTTACACTGGATGATCTTGATATAGTGCTAATAAAGAGATTTTGATTGTATGAAGTCACTCAATCGATTTTAACTTCTTTTTTTTTTTTTGAGAAAAAATCAGTTAATTATCTTGTCGACTTTGGTACAGCTTCAAATTATCAGTTTGAAATTCACAATTTCTAAAAGTAGTTGATTGAATTTTTCATTACTGATGGGTGTTTTAGCGTTGGTTTGGTTATAGATGGGAGATTCAGATGATAGCGAAACCTATACCGTAGATGAAGCACTTAACACTTTGGGGTTTGGGAATTTTCAAATCTTTGTTCTAATCTATGCTGGGATGGGTTCGGCTTCGGAAGCTATGGAAATGATGCTGCTGTCTTTTGTTGGACCAGCTGTTCAGTCTACATGGGATCTCTCTTCTCATGAAGAGAGCTTGATAACTAGCATTGTTTTTGCTGGCATGTTGATTGGTGCCTATTCATGGGGCATTGTTTCAGATAACTGCGGAAGGAGGTAACTTCATGACTATCTACCTAGTATCCATAAGGAGCTTTGTTAATATGCAATGTTTAAAAGGCGTTTAGCCTATGTAACTTGCAGCATACGCCACGAGGTGCCTTGAGGCATAAGTGTCAGTACCTACTATTTGTGGTTTGTGTTTGCATTTGAAGTTTGATAAATTCAACATGGATTTTTATCAGGATTAGTACTGGCATATGTAAGCAGGAATATTATTGACTACAATGAGATAAAGTTTTGACTGTAAAATTCATGTCTGCACTAAAAATGAAAAGCATTGAGTTGATTACTATATTTTTTATTTTTATTTTTAATAAGAGAGTGTATCCATCATGCATTTTCACTTGATGGATACTTGTAGATAGTTACACTTCTGATTCTTGTTCTCGTAATGACAATTTTTACCCACTTTGGGGTCAAAAGGAATGTAAAAGCAGAAGATTAACAGGAACAAAATTTATTGAAGCTTTTATTAATTCTCCTGCTCAAAGAATTAGAAATCAGATTTTGTCCTTTAGTCTTTCCTTTTTATTTGTTGGTTTTTGTTATCTGTATATACACCATTAAATGAATGAGAATCAAACACCGCAGAAGCCAACAGGTGCTTGACATTAAATTTGACTCATTAACTCTATGTTCAGAACTTCATAATGTACTGATGAACTTATATTATATTGATTGAAGCAAGTAAACTTTTTTCTCGTGGCACGATTAAACTAGCCTTTCACTCCTTTGCATAGACATTTTCATGTTTTTGGCCATACGTCACAAGCCTTTGGAGCTTGCTCTATGAGGGATACCTCAAGATTAACTATACACTATTATTTACACTTATTTAATTCGTCCTTTTCTCTTGCGAATTTGAAAGGTTTTGTTATTTAATGTGACGCACACAAGGTAAGAGACAGAAAGGTAAAGTTAAATAGTGAGAAAGAGAGAAGTAAAATAGGAGAATCAGTAATAGAATTTGAGAGAGAACACTACCAGAAAGAAGTTTCTATATTTGTGAATATGATAAGTAAACATCCTAATAATTCATCAATTGTAGTCCTATTTATATGTAGAAATACTTCTCTCTTATCGGTTTGGAATTTATAAATCCTTCATTAAAGTTTTTCATAGAGTTGGAGTGGAGGATGAGCAAAACATCTTAGCATTTCTAGATGGATTCCTTGTGCTTCTTTTAGGTGGTGTGCAAGGACAAGAACAAGGGTGTAATACCCAAACCAGGAAAGCTTAAAAGATTTGATAGGTACTACTCATACCAACAAGGTGCACCTTCTTTTTCGAAAGTCCATCGTTAGAAACTCTACAGTTAATCGTGCTTGACTTGGGGCAATTCTATGATGGGTGATCTCCTGGAATGTTTTCTTGGGGAGCGCACGAG